ACTCATTGGCTTTAGGAGTTAGGAAGGAAGATTGTGACATTGATTCAGTAATAATGTTCCGAGTTTTGAGGAGGAAATAATATTAAGTCTTAATTAATGAAGGAGATGTTCTGTTGGTGAAGAGAACTGGAAAACCCACTTCCCTGAGAAACAAAAGCTAGCAAAAGGCACGGAGGTGTGGTTGGTTCTGGTGATTTGGGAGGCTTGGGGACGGAGGATGAAGTAGTGGGTATTGAGGCTAGAAAGGCGAATAGGATCCAGATTTTGGAGTGTTTTTTAACCATTCCAAGGAGTTTGGATTTTATTTTAGATTTAATGGGGAGCCACTGACTTTTATTTTTTTTCTTCTTTTTAAACCAGGAAGTGACAAGATCATTTGTGTTTTAGAAAGATAATTCTGGAGTACCAGAGAAAAAATACAACTAAGAGTGTACTAGAGCGGAACTAGAGAGGCCAGGAGGGTGAGTGCCTAAAGTAAGGCAGTGGGGTGGGCTGTGGTCTCAAGAAGAGCATCCTTAGTATTTGGTGATTTTATGTGGTTCTTCCTTCTTAAATTCTTAGTGTACTACCCTGGTGCCTGTTTAATCTACCAGAAGCTCAGTTCTGGTTTACACCTTCATTGTCCCAGGGATAAAACTCCTTAGTCTGGCATTCAAGGCCCACCACTGCGTGGTTCTTTCCTTTGTTGTACCCCTTTCTCCAAGTCCTTAGTGCAGCCAAAACTGGCTCCCCGTCATTCCCTGAATGATGCTCTTCATTTTCCTGCTTTGGCCTTTTGTCTAGTTTGGGCCTTTCCTCCCCCACTCTTTAATCTATTGACTTCATATAGTCAATATTTATTTAGATTCACCCACATATTTGTTTGTTTATTTTAAGCTTATCGTTTTTTCATAATTATTTTTCAGATCTGCAGTTTCCTTTTTGTATTTTTTCATCAACTGCCAAAATTCTTTATTTTGTCTTTTATTCTCTTCAATATGGAAAGCATAGTTATGTTAAAATATATGACTGATGAAAGGGGTCTTGTGCGTCTGTTTTTATTGTTTATTGTTGGTTCTCTTTTCTACTGTTGGTTCTTTTTTAACTGTGTGCCAAGTTATTTTTAAATATGTGCCGGATATTGTATTTGAAAATCGATTTGAAGCAATAATTTGAGGCCTGTCTTGAAGAAGATAGGAGCTCATGGGAGCATTAGCAGTCTAGGATCACTTTAACTCATTTTCAGGCATTAAGCTCTGTCTCTGTTCTGATTCAGATATACTCCTAGGGTCTATAGCTTTTTGGAACCCAAATCTAAACTGGCTGGCTTCTCAAGTCTCCTTTCCTCTACATGGGTGGCCTGTAGCTCCACTGGGCTGTCAGAAAGGCTGTTCATCCTCACAACTGCTTTTGGAATTGGTAAATATCTCGGGCAAAAAGTGGCTCTAACTTGGAATTTCTGTCCTCTCTTGGAACTTAATTTGCTAATTCTTGTTATCTCTATACCTTCAAGTAGATGTCCAGCTTTTCTAGTTCTTCTTAGAAGGCTTAATCGGAATTACCTAGTTTACCATCCCTGAAAGTGAATGTCCTCTGCCCTTGATTTAGGATTTTTCCCTATTTTTGAGGGCAAAAATCAGTTTCCATGAAACTTTCCTTCTAAAACTAAAAGAATCTTTTCCTCTCTTGTTCTCTAGTATTTTTTGCTTTTACTTCTTTAAGAGCATGTACTGTTTATACTTTGCATTTCAGCTATGAGTTTAAATGTTTTGTTAGTTCTAATAGACCTTCAGTTCCCAGATGATAAATATGTATTTATCTTTACATAGCTCAGTGCCTTGCACATACTCATATTAGTTGCTCAATAAATGTGGAGTTGAGTGAAATAGGATCTCTCCTGGAGAAGGCAATTGAAAGGACACTTTGGGGCACATCTACTGCATTAGAACTGCTAGGCAAGAAAAGTGTAATGAGTAGTTGCTTTTATGAATTAAAATGAGAGATTAGAAATGTTAGGTGTTGTCCAGTTTTACCCTTCATAGAGTTAATCAGGGACAATTTTAGTTGACAGCTGCCTTGTTGTACTAAAAGTTCAAACACCTGGGTTTTATTGCTAGTTCTGAAGCAACCTAAGTAGATGAAAAAGTGAGTAGCTAAAATAACTGGACAGCTCTGTGAATTAAGACATCACACATGCTCTAGATCATGCCACATTTTCATATCTAATGTTCAGTATAAATTCTTTTTTGTTCTTTTTTTTTTTTTTTTTTTTTTTTTTTTTTTTTTTTTTTTTTT